TTTGTGTTTTGTTTTTTTCTACGTAAACTGTTGGTGATGCCCATACGGAATAGTCTGTTTTTGTGATCACACCTAATTTTTCTACTCTGTCCAATTCATTATGAATTCGATCTAAAACTGCAAAAGGTATACTCCTTTTTGGTTTAAATGTTGGTGTTACATTCTATTTTAACTCAAACGTAGCTTTTGCTTTCGTGCATGTCCCTAGAAATTTCTAAGAAAACTCATGGAAAAAAATTTTTCAGTTCATTTTTCGATTTTCAGTTGCCGTATTGATATCGGCTGTAACAAAATTTATCTTGTTGCAAAAAGAATTAATTGGAAAGTCCCAAAGATCAAACAATGTAATCCAGTCTGTTCGAAACAAATTAGCAGTATTCTTTAATACAAACACCGTTTTTTTTTCTTTTTCCCCACAAAAGAAATGTTACTGCTGAATTCACACCAATAGTTCAGTCTCTTTCCTGAGACACAAAGCGCAGCTTTATCAGACGTCAATAAACTGGGTTTACCCATTTTTCTCCAATTCATTTTTGATAGTGATATCAGATCCTGTATCTCGTTGCAATTTTATTTTTACATCATTAATTTGCACAAAAACAAATTTCCATTTTTGAGATATTAATTTTCCTTTTTTGTCCTAATCTCCCACATTCATAGCATTTTTTCTTCATGAAAAAACAATTACTTTTAAAATGCTTACCTCCACAACCATGACAATTATTAGGCATTGAGTGGGGGTATCGTCTTTTTCCCCTGTCCTGTTAGAAATCGAAAAACGTTTGTAGTTTGTTTTTTCTCTTAGATGGTCGTTCACAATGTACTTGTGAATTGACTTTTTCCTCAATCCTTACGATATCAAGTTTCAAATTGATAATACTGTGACGTCGTCCCCCGGTCGCAGCGCCGACTGTGACGTTCTAACTTGATCTACCACGGCGCCAGTTGTGACGTCCCTAAACAGTACCAGTTGTGACGTCTTCGCCGCGGCGTCAGCTGTTCGCTCCTCGCCGCCCCGTCCGGGTGTCGCTGCTCCAAACGTGACGTTCTAACCCTTTGGTGATTCGGGTAGGAATCTGGTTAGATTGATACCAGCCTCGCCGTTCCCAACCTGCTTCCAACGCCTGGTTACCAGGGTAACTGCACTGATCTCCAGTCTGCCTACCCACGTTGTGAATTGATCTTAGACAGACGAGATCAAACAGGGTTGGGGCCGTAATGCAAGCTGAGTTCAACGGGGTGATAACACACAAATATGTATAAAAGAAAAAAATGAAAACTCACAAAGTCCAAAGTATCAAAGAAAAAGGTAACAAACTTTTTATGTCTATTTCTTCGGTACATAGGACTATGTCTACTTCCCGACCCGTTCTGTGGATTGTGGCACGACGCTTTCACTAGGCAAATTCTAACGCTTCAAGTTGTCTACTCTCTAATAAATTTGTTTTTCGGTGTGTCTTTGGACGAAAGTCGAAAAAACTTATTTCTGTGGTCTGATTCTAAGTCGCTCTTCAAACTACTTGTTCTTGGTTGAAGAAGAGTCCAAAAGTGTGCGTGAATCTTGGTCAGCTATCTTGATGTGGTTTCAACACTGGGCGCTCATCTCTGCTTGTCGTCCGGGGCTCAAAACTTCTCGCCAGGGTCCGCGGCTGAACTCAAACTTCTTCTCTCCCGAGTCTGAGTTACTGGGCACTCATCTCCGCCGCCGATGCGCGAACTAACTTCTCGCCAGCTTGGGTCGAACGAACTTCTTTACTCAGGCCAAACGAACTGGCCTCTTCTACCCGCTAGGGGGCGAACGAACTCGGCCCGCCGTCCGCGGCTGCACTCCGCCTGCCGTCCGCGGCTGCACTGATTTCTGTCGGTTGGGGTCTCGCTTTTATTGACGCCGTCAAAACTGGGGTGGGTCTGTCGGCGCCCGGGGTTCCTCGATAATTCTAAATACGTATCCACCCTTCTTATTTCTGGTTAGGGATTTTCCACTCTTTTCCATTTTTGGTAACTCTTTTCTCATTCCCACTCTCTTACCGTGCTTCTGAGGGGCGTGCACCCGCTTCCCCACTTCTTCGTATCGGCTTCTCCCACTTACACTCTGATAGAGGCGTCGACTGATTTTCTTCGTGCGTCACGTGACCGCTCTCGGCCAATGAGGTCCTGGTCGGGTATCTTTCCTCCTCCTTCGTGCGTCATGTGATCCCATCTTGGCCAATGACGTCTTAGTCGGGCGTGAACAACCCGTGGCTTTGTTTTTGGAAAGAAATACCTTGCTTAACAAAAAAAAAATTAAATCGCCCTTATCATGAGCGGCCGATGTGACACTCTCGGCTTTTAACACGTGGCGTTTGTCAAGCAGTTTATCGCTAATTGGATATGAACTAAGAAAGAAATTTTCCAGACCTGGCGTCTCTAAAGCAAAAATAAATACATTTCATTTTCCCTTTCGGCCCAAGGTTGATAACAAAAATCTTTATTATCACAGGGCAAACGTTTATTCTGTCAAAAAAAGAAAAAATTTAGCCAGTGAAAACTTCTTGTGTGGGATTTTTTTTTTTCCAACACAGGAAGACTGTCTGTGTTTCGTCAATGTTCAACAATGGATTCCTTCTTTTGGGTGACATCTAATTGATAACAAAATTCCAATTTTCGTGGACAAGCGGAAATCGGTCAACGCTTGTTTGTAGGTGACCTAGATATTTTCGACATCTGATACCTATCAACTATAACCTTTTTCCTCCTCCTTTCCGTCTCTTAAGCCGTGTGTGTGTGTTCACCTATGGCTTGTCTCGTATTACTTTTTCTTTCTTTCTTCTTCGTTTTCTCTTTCTTTCTCCCAAATCGCTTGAATGCAAAGAAAGAATTATTCTTAAAACCTAAAATATTTTTCGGCCTTAAATAATTATCAAATGGTTGATAAACCGTAAAAAAGCAAATCATATATCTATAAATATTTCTTTCAAATCGTCCGGATGCATGGTGCCACAATACGCTGATATTCTTCCGCTGTTAGTTTGGAATCCATTTCTAATTCAGCAAGGATCCTGGATCTTATCTCCGCGTCCTTATTAGAAGTTAAACCATGTACGAATATCAGGCATTTAAATAAACCCGGAGTTAATTCATTTAACTTGAACTCACATTCTCGATTCACGACTCTTGCATAAGGGACAAAATCTTCATCGTTGGACTTTAGTAAGTTAAGACGTTGCCATCGTGTATTAAATAATGAACTCCTATCACCAAAAATTTTTGATAGTATAAGAACAGTCTCATCAAAATTTGTCTCTCCTGATTTTTTCGGCAAAATATAATTTACATATTTTTCATGTTCCGCAGGAGACAATTTCCTTAATAATAAACGAATTTTTTCACCATTCCAATGCGAATAATTCCTTTTGAAGATCCCTTCATATCTTCTATAATAAGCTGGAAAAGTTATCCTTTCGTCTGGATTGTATACAAATTAGCTGATTGAATTAGCAACAGCATATGGAGTGAATGAATCTGAAGCTTTTCCTTCTATGGTTTTGGCAAACAATTCAAAAAGCTTATGTTGTAGTTGTAACTGTAATTGCTGTTCGTGTTGTCGTTTTTGTTGTTGCAAATGTTGTTCTTGTTGTTGCTTCTGTAGCGCCAACATCTGAACCATGAGAGCTTTTAGTTCTTTCATTTTGCTGAACGAATCCTTCTAAGTTCAAGGAATCCTTGCGAATAAGCGTTGTCACTTTCGTGATGCCAACGAATACTCGTTGGTACTTTCGTAATGCTCGTTGTAGTAAGACTTATTGTAAACCATTGAACTATGCTGATGTCAGACGCCTTCGAATAGCATTCGCACTAATTATACTCGCTCGAACAGTAATGCATTTCAATAATGGGGTCGCCTGTGTTTGCTCATTGGCGATCTATGTTCAAACTCAAGTGTCTGCAGCGACACTTTATTCCTATATAACACTCTTAACACACATTTTGACGAATAAACTTTGTTTTCATCAAGTTTTTTCATCGTGCTTTTTTAGAAAATTTTGTAGGGTATCTATATAAAACATTGCGTTTTCTATTTAACATTGGGTTTCAACGCTTTCTTAACCCTTCCCTGACAATGGATTTTGTTTTCTATTAACTTATAACGTAGGAAGGGAGCTGAACTATAAGAAGAAAGCGTAGTCTCCTTTATATTTTATTTTTTATTTTATTTTTTGTTTCTTTTCTTAATGAAATATGCATTTCCGTTCAATCGTCTTTTTAATGTTCAACAAGTTTTTGACTATTATAAAGATATGGGTAGTTGATTAAAAAAAATCCATATTGAGGTTTGTAGTGGTATTATTATTATACTGCTGCAGTAGAATAATTGTGTGTTCGTACGCTCAATCTACAGGATTTGTAGATCGTCACAGCAGTCGGCAGCCCTAGTATATTATCACTCGACGCGTATTCTTTAAATATATAATTTACTTTTTACTTTGACTGTAACGCCTTCCCGACTGTCCGATCGTCCCCGACACGCAACACCCGCGACTGGTTTTCGAAGTGACTACTTCGATCTGGGCCTTGTCCTATCCCACGTTGTGTTTTCGATCATAGGAAAGTCAAGATCGAATTACCACAGGGGGTCTCTGGTACTAGATTAGTCCAAACAGGGTAATGATGTGACAATAAAAAGACAAAAAGAAACGACGCGTGGTTTAAGAAAATAAATTCCAATTTTATCAGTTCTTTTACAGAGCAATAGTCGACCCAACCCGCTTCTAACCAGGAGTGACACTTTGTGCAAGCTCTGATTGCTGGTTTAACGAAGTTTGCTTTTCTGTTGTAGCGTAGTTCTGCTTTTCTGTGTTAGCTTCGTTGATACAAAGCTGAAGTCTAGGTTCTTGTAATCGACAGGAATCACGTAGATAGTCTAAGCGAGCTGGTCGCTCCGTGGTCGATCTCTTCTGACGAATTCTAGACGATCTAACTCCGACGAACCTCTACTTTCCTGGTCTGAAGCATTTGCTTATATGGACTCCTACCCAATACCGGTATGGAGCAAGACACGGTGATTCCTCCAAATCCAACAAGAGTGCATTGTTGAAAAATTAATTACGCATACAATTTTGGTGAGATCTCTTCTTCCACGAGGAATGGCTGCAGGATATCGACCTGCTCACACTCCTTCTTTTACCTATTGTCATCTCACACTAACACTCATTGATAGGTGTTAGTAATCCTCCACCTCTCTTGGCGTCTTGCCTACACCCTCTATTATGGCTATTACCCAGCCAATGACTTCTCGATTGCTTTGGCGTAGCCTAACTTACTTCATTAATTAGAAGACTTTATCTTTTGGTATGTTGTAAGCTTCTAATTATTGTTTTTGATTAGGTCTTTATTTTTTCTTAATACTTAATTTCTTTTAGTTTTTTCACAGTTTAATCATAATTCAGATCGTCATTAGGCATTCTCATGCACTTAAATGTTTGTGACACTTCAACTCGATCCCGGTTCACAACACTTCAATCCGCTCCTGGTTGACAACAAACGGCCACAGATGTAACCTTTCGTCGTGGTCAGCCCGGGGTGGATCCTGGTTTGATCAATGGAATGATCTCATCGATCCTGACCTGCCTTACCCTACGTTGATGATTATTTTAATTATAAGGATGCCAAGATCGATTCATCGCAGGTATCTTCGTGTTGTCTCTGAACTCAACTCTCTGAATGGCTTTCGCGCATTCATTTTTATGGACTCCAACTAGAAACCGGTGCGGGGCAAGATGTAGGCTGAGTTTCGGTGAATTCCCTGATTTCCAAAAAAAAAGTCAATTATTTTTGGTCTTGAGAAATCAAATTAGTTCATAATTTTAGGGAATTCTCCCTCTGTTGGGTGGGGAGCTGCAGACATCGCTCCGTCCGACTTGGTACCACCTCTCACTATTGCTCCCCAGTGGGCGTGAGCAGCTCCTTCAACCTCCTTAATGTCTCCTCTGTGCCTGCTACCCTTCAGTGGGTGCAAACAACCCGTCATCCTTCCTTGATCGCTCTTCTGCGCCTGTCACTCCAACATTCGGTCGGAGATTGATAAAAAAAAAATATGGTTTCAAATGTACTTTTCTCATAAGTGAATTGACAGTTACAATTGACTTTCTCACCTCTGACCCAAGAGACACTTTCCTAAGGAAATTTTTTCAACTCCCATTATGGCAACCATTACCCAGCCACAGGTGTTCAATTCATTGTTTTTCATTGTGACATCCCGCGAAATAAATTCATTTACTTTTAGCTCAATTCTTGTCTTGTCACATTTAGGCATTGGTTGGCACAGGCTGTCAACAGTTAATTTGTTCGCACAAACTGAGAATCGCTTTCAAGCGGTCATCTTGTCTATTGTACACATTTCGATTCTCTGGGAACAATCTATAAGCCTGTCTTCCCGATATTGGCTCACCTTTCATTCATCATTATCTCGTTTTCAGTGATATATGCATGGGTGATGCATCCAACATTTTGATTTCGAAGAACGTTCACGTACTGCACCCTGTACACCTTGATATCAGTAATTCATTGGTATTGACACTGTTGAAGACCTTCATGCAACTGGTATTCTCGCACTAGCTTTAACAATTGGGTCATTATACCATATTTTTTTAAACCCATCCATTTGTTGCGACAGTCGTTCAACATTTATCTGTCTCTGTCACGCTTCTATCTCTCCTGATTTTATCTCTCTGTCTCTCTCTCTCTCTCCTGATTTTATCTATCACGCTTTTTTCTCTTTCACCCTAGCTCTCTCTCTCTCTCTCTCTCTCTTACGCATTTTCTCTCGCGTTTTTTGTTTTCTCTCTCTCGCGCGCTTTTTTCTCTCTCGCGCTTTTTTTTTCCACGCTTATTTCACGCTTTCTATCTTTATTCTCCTCTCTCTCCGCTTTGTTCTCCCTCTCTCTCTCCCGCTTTGTTCTCCCTCTCTCTCTCCCGCTTTGTTCTCCCTCTCTCTCTCCCGCTTTGTTCTCTCTCTCTCTCTCCCGCTTTGTTCTCTCTCTCTCCCGCTTTGTTCTCTCTCTCTCCCGCTTTGTTCTCTCTCTCTCCCGCTTTGTTCTCTCTCTCTCTCTCTCCCGCTTTGTTCTCTCTCTCTCTCTCCCCGTTTTGTTCTCTCTCTCTCTCTCCCGTTTTGTTCTCTCTCTCCCGTTTTGTTCTCTCTCTCCCGTTTGTTTTCTCTCCTCTCTCTCTCTCTCCCTGTTTTGTTCTCTCTCTCTCCCGTTTTGTTCTCTCTCTCTCCCCCGTTTTGTTCTCTCTCTCTCCCCCGTTTTGTTCTCTCTCTCTCCCCCGTTTTGTTCTCTCTCTCTCCCCCTCCTTGTTCTCTCTCTCTTTTTCTGGATTCGCGTTTTTGTGGAGATTTGGCTTTCGCTTGTTTATATGTAAGGAAATTTGCGTACCTTGAGCTTTGATTTATGGTATGTTTTCCGATAAGATATTCATGGCCTTCCTTTGTTCACTAACAGATGACCCTCTTTGGGATGCGTTCATGTTAAACTAGTCAGATTTTTGGTAACAATATGAAGAGTGACATATCTAATCGCACTTTAAACAAACATAGCAAGAATTCTTCTTTGGAATTTGGGAAAATCATACATTTTATCATACTGTTCCGGGGACAAATGGTTAGGTTGGGGAAGATCTAATATTACTAACTAAATGATTTCTACTTGGTTTATTACAGTTTCACATCTTCATAGAAGCTTCTCGATACTCATTTTATGACTTTTAATTATTATTTTCTTTCTTTCCTTTCTCGGTGCTTAATTAGTTTCTGAGTTTTTACATTTTTATAATTATTTCCCATGTAAACATAAAATGCTACACTCGTCCAAACTTTTCACCGACCGGCTAATTCTCAATCTCATTGGTTTGCGCAGAAAGCTGTAAAAGGATCTGCTGCATGCTCACAATATAACAAGATGGAAGACAAATACCACAGCAAAAAAAAAAAAAAAAAACGAGAACGTTAACCCGTTTTCAATATTATATTTAGACGTTTTTTTCTGGGCTTTGCCTGTGTGGATAGGTAGGTGATAATTGGGGGACAACTATCTCCTAGATCAGCTCTTCCTCTTACCAACACCTCGCTTATCTACACATCCCGACGTGTGGCTAGCAATACGAACGGATGGTATCGGAAGCCATACGACGAACATGTCTCTCTCGCCAAGGCGGGCCAGAACTGGATGGTGCTTGGAAAATATAGCAGTAATTGCTATAAACTGATGGAAGCAAGTCTGCTTGTCCACCCCCCCACACACACACACTTACTTCCCCTGTTAAGTGTGTGGATGTGTTTTTACTCCGTCCACGGAAATGCGTGTGTTCTTGTGAGGGGACGGCTGTCCACACAATCCTGAGCAAATCTGTGACGACTCTGTCCTAGGTTCGACTCTTTGTGTGATTGGGTCCCGTGAGACTTCATTTATATAGATTCCCCTCACTAAAAAAAAAAAAAATTGATATATCTAATTTCTCCACTGCTGGCCGCCCTAATCTTAGGAATTTTTTTTTTTTTTTTTTTTTTTTTTTTTTAAACACGTGGCAATCGTGAAGAATTTTCGGTTACTCTCTTTCTGTAAGAATAATAGTGTTTTGGGCGGATTGTATTCTGTAAAGATATATGCATTTTGGATGAATATTATTAATGTAAACAAGCTCGGAAGTTAATTTCTCAAGACCAAAAAATTCGAGCAACACATTGTTTTCTTATTGGAGGGAAGTGGATAGGTTGAAGAATAATTTGGTTTTGCTCAATTTTACTGAATCTTGGCTAGTTATTTCTAGGTTGGATTCTGTTTGGAATCTTTCTTAAATTTATTTATTTAAAACATTAAATAATTTATTTTTCCGTCTTTCTCTCAGCTATTCAAGTTAAGAATTGTTAAATTTCTCTTCTGAGAATTTTAATAATTTTCATCCAATTAATCACTCCAGACTACCATCCAGCGATTTCATGTAATTAAAAGTTTGAATAAGGTCGGTACTCTGTTACACTTAATTATGTCATTTACTATATATCTGACATTTCATTAATAATATTAGATATAGGTATAAATTTCAAAAGTATAATTTAAAAGTTACATTTTCTGAATTGAAAAAAAAAATTGTTGATGATATTAGAAAGAATTTAATTAACGCAGATATTTTGTTCAATGATGATAATGAGCCTAAAATTGTACAATCTTTTAATTTAGTTCATTTTTATTCATCTTCAAGTTTTGAAAATGAGCGTTCTCCACTGTAGTTTGTAACCAGGAGTGATCAATAAATGCCAAAGTTTTTTCTAAATTTGCAAAACAAATCTCCAAAGAATTGCTTGTTATCAAACGGCATAACTATAATTTGACAGGCCAGAATCTATCTTGCTTCATTATAAATTTACCATTAATGTATCTAATATTGCTGCAACATCTGGGTTGGTGCTTCTGCTATGTATCGTGAGATATTTGTCAAAATTCAAAGAATCTGCAACGTTATCGGTCCTAACGTGGCATATCGGCTCAGTCACTTTCCTGCCGCTATAATGTAGCTTCCCTGTGCCTTTTCTATACATATTGTTAGGTTAATTTTGATTAACGCTCCTCTTTGGTACATTGACTTCACGAATTTAAGCACAGTACTATATTGCCTGTTAAGTCCCATCATTTTAATCTTAAATTTGCTAGATGCGACAGTAAGTTCTATTTTAATAATTTCTTCGCCCGCACTTCTCGCTTGTAGAACTCTCTTACGGCTTCTTGCGTACCTATCAACTACGAACGTCAAAATTTTAATTGCAATGTCAATCGTCATCCGTATCATTGAAATCCTGTTTTTTTTTTTTTTTTTTTTCTCTTATTCAATAGCTCGCCCTGTCGGCTAGGGTTGTAGAATACGTCGACTGCCAGCTCTGCAGGGAGTAACCCTCCTCCCCAATGAGGCTACCTGTTAGCCGTGGGTGGCGACCTGTAATTCCTGAGGACAGAAAGCTGGTGACGGCACAGTTCATAACTCTAGTTGCCATGTAACAGACAACACGCCTCTTCAATCCTTACTTGGGCTAGACAAGCGGTCGGATAGGCCCGATCCGATCTATCGGCTTGTTATGTCACCTATTTGATTAGGCCTGACAATATCTTACAAGCGGATCACATGACGATCTAACACTAAACGTTTATTATTTTAAAGGTGCTACAAGGTTGTGGCTGAGGATCAATCGAGTCGAAGAGGAAGAAACCTTGAGCAGTGTCATTAAGTTTTTTTGTGGAGTACTGAAGCACAGCATTATCAGGGTCTCAGTTCTTTCACAACGCTAGTATACTGGTCGATGTATCCCCGCCTCAACCATTTTGTAAATTCTCAATATAATTTGAACTTCGCGGTAGGTGGTTGGGCACAGATCCAATGAAAACAAATCACATGGCAAACTTAAACAAAAATCCCAAACGGAATCTCCCGGACTTTGATTGAGAAATAGAAACCGGAAGCGAATTTCATAGATTCATCGTAATTAAATCTTTAGAGGAAACCTCTCTGGCCAATCTATCTCCATTCTTAATTAAAAAATAAAAAGTAATTACCTGCAGGGCAAATCCTTGAACAGTGAGAAAAGTGAGAAGTGCCAATCTGCTTGTAAAAGGGAACAATAAGAAATACGCATGTAACATACTAAAATGGAATCTTTTCACAATCTAAAATGTAAAACATCTGAAAGAGAGTTATTAGAAATAGTTGTCTCTGGTTACACCTGATGTGACCGTCCCACGGCGTTGGATCGGCCTTCCGGGAACCAGACCACGAAGGTCCCTCGTCCCGGAACCAATTCTTCGTCGACAGCGACGAGGCTGGTAGCTAGAAGCCGGTCTCTGAATCGACTCCACCCACAGTGAACTCCCTTGCCCACGCTGTGAATTTGATCTCAAGGAAGCCACGTGGGTTTTCGCCAGGTGTCTCTCCGCCAAGTCGAACCAATCCGGACGCGGACGCACAATTGGGTAAATGAAACGGCACCAAATATAAACAGAACAACGCCTGAGTACGTTGTAGAAAAGAAAGTCTTTATATACAGAAGAATTCAGAGTACAATCTCCAATGGTCTTCTTCCCAACCCCTGTTTCTAACAAGCTGACCACGGAACGGAAGTCTCGACTAATTTCTTTAAGGGGTGATTTTCAAGTTTTCAGGATAGCGTTATTTCTTCACTAATTTCTTTAAGGGGTGATTTTCATGTTTTCTGGTTGGCGTTATTTCTTCACTCCGGTCGGAGTTCTTGGTTAGCGTTATTTCTTCACACCGAAGCCTCACAGAAACTGACGAAGACTGTCTCTGATTGTTGCGGAGGTTGGCGGGCGGCGGTGTTGGTACTTCAAGCCTCACTCCTCGGCTATTCTCCGGCTCTAACTGAACTGCAACTCAACTGTACTGCAACTGCACTCTCGTTACCCCTTTGGGGCTCTGTATTTATGCTTTTCCATCCTTTACTGGGATGGGGACGACGTTCACTGGGGTGTCTATGCGAACCTCATCTCAGACCCTTGTTAGCCAATGAAATTACGGCTTCATTTCTTTCTGTCTTCTTCCCTCATGACACAGCCAATGAGATGTCATTATTTCTATGACATCATTCTTTTCGCCAATGGGATAGTGTCGTCTTCATGACGTCACACCTTTTCTCGGCCCTTTCTTTCTTCCCAAAATACCAAATTAGTTTCCCAGGAAAATTCAGTTTTTTTCTTCATATTTCACAAATTAGCATAACCTTTGAACCTGCCATAGATAACCGAATAAGCAATTTCCTTATGACACACTTTATAAATGCGTTTTGGCTTTGTTCAAATTTAGAATTTCCAAACTACCTGGCCTGTTTAAATCCTGTTAACAAAATTCACTTCCAACTCATTCCGTTGGGGGTCAGAGGGCATCCATTGTTCTGTGTTGACACATTTTTTTGGTTTACAATCCACAGCTGGAAAATGCTTTCTCCTTGATTAAACAGTCCTGTTTCATAGCTGCCGTCAACAATTGATTGACCCCCACAACCTCATCCGATATGACTGTTTTACTTTGAGAATACCATGACTCTTGTGATAATTTTACCCGCACCTAATTCCCGTTCAATTATAACGCCTTTCATTAAAAAAAAATATCGTCTTTTTTTTTCTCTTTGTTCATATTGGAAGCAGAATAGAACATCACCTAATATAATTTTCTTCCGTTTGGTCTCTAATAATCAATAGTATAAACTAATGCAATTTCTTCCGTTCGGTCATGCTAAATATTGTTACACTGAGGAAATAAATGCAACCGTAGAAAAATAAAGATTCACCGACTGTAGTATCTGGATAAAGTCCCTGTGTTATCTTGTATACCCTAGCGCTCACTCTCGTACAGCTGTGCCAAACACTCACGGCTGACTGGAGATTCCGGCCAACCTCAGAACCTTGCTGGCTTCTCTTGTTCTTCTACTTCTGCTTTTATCTCCTGTTGGTACACTAGTGTCACAAGTTGCAGATCTCTGCACTCAATCTACTTTCTGTCTTCGTGTTGTGTGCCCGCCGATTGAAATCGTATCGAAATCGAATCTCAATTAGTCGTACGAGATGTGGTAATATTTTGTGTGTATATTCTGCATAGCTGCAAAAGCAAGTCTGTCTTCTACCTCTTGAAAGAACCAAAGGGTTCTGGTTAACAATTCAACAATTAATTTTAATATTGACTTGATTCAAACTAGAGCCATATTTTAATATGCAGTTATTAACATGCACACTATAGACAAGGAGTTCACTTTGTCACATTCATCAGTTTACATAAAAAGTCAAATGCTGTACCTCGAAGCATTTTACTCTATTCAATATCCTATACATCAACGCATTTTGCACTACTCAGGGATTTGCATTCAATATGTGACACTGAGCTGTCGGTCCGTGGTCAACTCCCAGTCGCGGCACGAAACTGTAATATTTCTTCTACAGGCGTTTTGGGGTTGACTCTAAGTCGCTGCCACCAGCCTGTGTCCCGGTCGATCGGTGGTCGTCGCTACCCGGCGGAATCCTTTGGTCAGGGTACCAAGTGGGACGGTCGGTCGATGCTAACAGCTTCACACCAGTTGCAACCGGTTCGACACCAGCTCCGTCGTTCCCAGCTCACTTCCAACGTCTGATTACCGAAGTAACTGCTTCGATCTCGAGTCTAACCTGCCCACGTTGTGATTTTTATCTTAGGTAGACGAGATCAATCAGGCGTCGGGCCGTAGTTTAAGATGAGTCTAGACTGAAGGTGATATCGCACAAGCGTAAAGAAAAAGAAGCAAATAAAAATCCAAGAGGTTCAAGTATGTTAAAAAAAATAACAAATTAACTTTATCCGTCTGTTATATACAGAAATGTGTTTTTCTCCCAGCCCGTTTTCTACGGAGTGTGGCATTTTTACGCTTCTTAGGCAAGTTCTGGTCTTCTGAGTCAACTGGTTTAGTTTGAAGTGCTGACTTAGCTTCGTTCGTCAGTATAACTTGCTATTGGTAGGATAGGTCGTGGAATCTCTTGGTCAGCTTCTGCGAGGCAATACTCTGGTTCCTGCTACTCGAACTGCAACTGACTGATTGACTAACTCAAAAAACTGTCGAACGGCCCGAGGACGTTCATTTATATGGGTACCGACCAAAACCCGGCGCGGGGTTAGACGCAGTTTTCGGTAAATCTCGATTTCTCGCAAGAAAACGCTTTGTTGTCAGGCCAGGAAAATTAATCACTTTCCATTTTAGGGGTATCTCTTCGTCCGTGAGGAGAGATCGGAGGAGAGCTATCCTCCTAAATTCCTCCTCTCTCACATTGATACCTCGTACCAATTCCTTCAGTGGGCGTTAATAACTTCCCCGTCCTTCTCATTCATTCACCTCCGCCTATCACCATTGCTACCACTCGACCAATGGCATCCCGGCTGTGCAGGTGTGGCTAAGCTGGCCTCATTAAAATTGTAACCCAGAATTTTAGTTTACAAAATTCTTTTTTTTTTCCATCGGTCCAAATGTTTACGGATCACATATTGCCACTTAAAATCTCTGATCTTTTGGTCACTCTGTCTTCTTAACCAGCACTCTTAACAAACTCCATTCCCTTGTCAAATCCTGCCATCTGGTCCCTTCATGAAGTTAGCTTTTACTGGAATCCTTGGCTTCTTGAGAAATTAAATTTCTTATCTCCCAAATCGCGATTCTTCCACGATATTTTTTCTCATGCCAAAATTTTATAATCACCATATGGCTACTCAACGTGTCGGCATCGAAGACATTTTGGAAAAAACAAATAACAATTCTCTCCACACCGTATCGGAAAACTTCCCATGCCAAAATTATCATATGTCCCTGCCTTGCCGGCACCCAAGAAAATGATATCTTGGGAAGATAATTAATATTGATTCTCTTTACCCCGTATCGGCAAATCATGTCATGCCGAAATTTTTTATAATCACCATATGACCTGCCCGATATCTCAACGCTTTGCTTTTTCTGAATCTCGTGTTTTCTCGGTCAGCATTTTTTACAAACAACATTAATCAACTGTCAAAAAGCTCGCATATGGCTTTTCTGCGAGTCTACTGTCCACACCAATTTAGGGGTCTTTGAGAAAGTAACTCGATTTTATTCTTAAGAACAAAAAATCGGGGTATCTTCCGTTCTCAATATTTTCTTGTTTTAATTTCTATAGTTAATTAGTTAGCCAATTACCATAGCTAAATAGTGTTACACAAGTCTTTTCCACAGTTCGGTAGTTAAGTCCTTTCCAAATGTCCGTTTTGATTGTATGGGTCATGTTTTCAATACTCCATGCAAAGTTTAAAAAGTCTCTATTTTTTTTCATAAATGTACTTTGATTAATAGTGTTCCTTCTGGGATCACAGATTGACTAATACCTGAGTCGAGTGTTTATCTTTCGCCTTGTAACCAGTAATTGGTCGAACATTAAGTCTTTCGACCCATTTCGTCTCACCTCTCTCCTCTCAAGTCATCTGGGATTTATTTTCCATTGGCTTCGTTTAATTTTCTACCTACAGAATAACCCATATTCCTTCACACTGCTTGAATATAACGAAACTAACAGTAACATTATTACACGTATCGTCGATGCAAAATATAGCCATTTCGACACAATCCTCCACCACTGTTTTTTTATGATAGACTTCAGCCTTAGTTACTAACCTCAATCTATCCACCAGGTATTTGATACCACTATTTCTCACTAGTTCTAATATCTTAAGTATCTCATGAGCCCTTGTTTTAGTAAACTGTCCGATTAGAGGATTCCATAGGTGAGTCCAGTTTTTGACAGGCAAGGGATAGGAAAGTGTGCCTAACTTCAAACTTCCCTTCTGTTTGATAGATTGGTAATCGCTAATGGAGGCGCATCCCATGGGTAAGTTAACAATAGAACTCTTATTGTTCCCTTCTGTTGAGTGTTGCATACCTTAGTTAATTCCGTATCTGTATTCACGCCAATAGCACATATACCATCGAACAGGTATACTGCTTGGCGTAGAATCTTTTCAGTCGCTATCTCTATATTGCATCTCTCTCGAATAGCATTCATATTGCCTTTAAACAATTCCACTACACACAATTTATGCTCATTAGTCACATAAGCCAGACTTGGTAAACATACCTTCAACTTGCTTATTTTACATGTTAAGGCCTGTTCGGTTATTAGTAAGATAAATTTAGTTCTAGCTAAATTAAAAACTGTGTTCTCTGTCTCTAATCTATATTTAGCGAGCATCTTTTGTTTTACCTCCTCGCTCAGGTAAGTTTATCACTTGGAACACATCAAAAACAATGTCTAGTAGTGGTAGAGTCAGTAACATTACGATTTTGACCTCGTTGCTAAGCGTTGTGCTTCCCAAAGATTCATAATAGAACCACAGTTCATTGTTGAACCCTCGGGTAACTTTAAATTGTGATGTAAATCGGAACGAATCCTTAACAAGTCCCCTGGGGTGTCCCCAGAGTCACTACATTTGGAGATAGGTGTCTCAAGTATATCAACTGCGAAGCCTATACCAGTCTAGCAGTCTTCGTCTTGAAATACATAAATTGTTAGGACATTACCTCTAGTTTCTTGATTCGATATCTTGCTCCATCAGTCACACTCTAATTCTGCTCACGTCTCGTTAACTGCTTTTGTTAACCAAATAATGCTTTTTCTATTCTCGATTAATTACATTTACAATAAACTTTCTTCAGCAAATTGTCAATTTTTCTTTTCCACCTTTACAAACTCTTTTGTATTAATGTTAAATCATTCTCTGAGTATCGAAAAGTCCTTGTAACGCTTTTTCTATGAAAGGTATTACTGATCGTTTCTATCCATTTCTCAATAAGTCGATTTCTCATAAATAGTTCAATATCTCTTCATTCTGCATAGCCAACCTTTTTAGATGCTGTCCTATGGTAAACAATAATCATACATATCCCGTTTCATTAATACTACCCTGGTCCTTCGCTATATCTTCTCTCACGGTCCCAGTATGACCCACTTCATATTTCAATTCTCGCAATACTGTTCGATAGGGTTGTAAATTGATCATTCATCTTAATCGCGTTATAGTAACTTCAGTTGTTTTCTTAAAAAAAGCCCTCCTGAGTATACTTCAGCGCATTAATTACACTAATAGTAAGGAACAACTTCAACTCCTACAGCATCCTGCAAAAATAACAGGATTCTCTGATACTAAGATTATCTTTGCGTCTCACTATTACGCACACAAACATTTATTTTCTTTTCTTTTATAACACTTTTTTCTATTCAGTAGACGGTCCCTCTGCCGTCAATGCTCTTGCACCTTCCACGGTCTGATTACTGAACCTTCCAGTCTCATTATTGACATTCCTCGATTCTTCTTCCACTTGAGGTTGCTTTACTCTATCTTCTCTTCTTGCCTCTAAGAGTCTTTGCTAATCAGTCAGGGAAATCTCATCTTCTGGCTCCCTAACGTCTGATCCTTTTTCTATTGGTCCTAATTATTTTAAAGACTTCTTCGTAGGCTGGGTCTTCTTAGGCAGTACTTTTCTCCCGACATAGGGCATACAGGAAGATATTGCTATTTTTCCACACTTATCTCTGTTTTCCCCAATCAGCCAACTCTGGTGGGTAGACCTATATTAGCTCTAGGTCCAATTCTATTACATATAAATCAAACCATTTTACTTCTTCCGGGAGTTTAAATATATCCCCCGTTCAACTGAAGACTATGCTTCGTGATCCATTGTTTTATTTTTTGTTCCCTATCCCAATCCTTGTACAACTCTGGACATTTTACTGTCATCTGACTCCTATTTCTACAGTTGTAACAGATTGTCAGTCTCTCACTCACTCTCCCCTCCAACTGAGCAAGGCTTCACTCCTCGCTGATGCAAACACGTCATCCAACGTTTCAGGAGAATCCCTCGACCCATCTTCCCGTATCAAAGGGTTACTCAGTGCGCCCATAAAATATTCAGCCAACTGCGCCGCTACTACTGGGTCTCTCCTCTTCTCTGACTTTGAATATGCGACTTTTACTAAAAGTCGATACTCTCCCTGCTAAGGCTGCTTCATCTTTTTGCTTCACTCCTACTAGAGCCTTTGCTGCTCCCGTCATACTTGAGTGGTTACCGAAATGTTTTGTGATTTCCTCTTCCATTTGTTTCCAGGTAGGTTTGGAGTTTCTCTGTAGGAACTCACCAAACTATTCTGAAGCTGTACCATCTCAGTAGTCATACGCTAGTGCGACCATATCGATCTCAGACTTATTTACGCTCTATCGCTTTTTCCTATCTACATCCATCTACAGCCGAAGCTCCATGCTCTCTCCAGTAAATAAGGGAACCTTTGAGCCAGTCATTTAGTTTAGCTACGAGTTTCTGCGAGAGATCCATCAGTTCTCTTTTCTAATAGACCCCTCCGTCAGAAGATTGTAATCCCACCCACTCCACAAAAACCTTCACCTCTGCTATTATATAACTGATTAAAACTGATAATCAACAATAGGTAATAACAGTAATAACGAGAGAAACACAAACCAACAGTAACCACTAGGACACACAATGTAAGATGGAACGAAACGAAACGAAATTCTGGCCTACTTTAGTTCTTGATGATGCTGTTTTCTGGGTTGTTCTCTCTAGGCTGGATCGACGATGTTGGTTTTGGTATTTCTTCTTTCTCTGGATCGACAACGTTGAATTCGACGGTTGCTGTTCTCTCTTGCCACAATGTTTCTTCAGCTTCTGTCTTTGAACTTGTCCATATTTTCTTTTTCTTAAACCCAAGCACTTTTTCAGCTGTCGATGTCATTGCATCGTGCAGGGTTGTCTATCTACCACTGGTAGTCTTCGCGTCCGGTGAGTGGTTGAGGTGCTTTTCAGCGGATAGTCGAAATTGCTCCGATATTTGGAGATTTACACGGTTAAAGCGTCGGCAAGGCCTACCTGCAGAAGGACGCCTAGATGATCGGCGAATAGAAATCTTGAAACGTGAGAGCAGAAGACGGTGGTCTGTCCAGCAATCATCCGCTCGAGACATGAAATGTGTGATGTGGACATCTTTTTTTGTTCGTATGCCAATGCTTGGATCTTGGGTGTTGCCATGTTTTGTGTCGGTTTGGGAGTCGGTACAGAATGTTGGTCAGTCAGGTCATGTTCTGCGCAAAGACCAAGAAGCAGATGTCCGTTTACATTACATAGCGATCGAGAATGCTCCACCTTCATGTACGGTGATCACGGCCAACTTTGATTTTGAAATCGCCAAGAACCACGAGTTTATCTGATACTGAGGTGGTTTGGATGATTGAGTCCAAAAGGTCATAGAATGACTTTTTTGATGGCATTGTCAAACAAGGGTAGGTGCATAGACGGGATTGAGAAAAGAAATTACCCTGATTGAGTAGGATCCGGGTGGGGGTCATCAAGCATTCGATGATTGTAATGAGGGATGAGGTTGTACTGCTCCACGAGTTTGGTATTCATTGCAAAGCCGATCCAGTAGATACATTGCTTGCCTTCCCAAAAGATTGTATAGATGGGTCCGATTTCTGCTTCTGTTGCGAATCTGATTTCAATCAAAGTAACTACATCGATGTCAAAACGGGCCAGATCGCAACACATAAGTATTGTTGTTCTCTCTGGGCATTCTGTGTTCTTGATGTCCATCAACGTACGTACCTTCCATACTCTGATAGTTAATGGGGTTAAAAGCAACAGATTTTGTCAGTATGAGTAAGTTTTGACTGCAAGAATTTGAAAAAAAAATGCATAGAAAATATTTAGATTTCTGCATTAAATAACCCGTATTAGTTGTTATGCCGCTAAACAAAATCAACCAACCTTGCCTCAGTTAACAACAGAATGTAGATCATTTTTTACCTCAGCTGCCAATTACTGTCCAAATTTACTATTATGACAGGAATAAATGGTTGTCACCAGCATAGATACCGAGTTGAGAACTGATGCCACCAGGAAGGTTTGTTGATGAAAATAAAAACAACGTAGGTTCAAAGATAGTCCTAGAGGACGCCTCTATTAATGCAAAAAATCTAGAAGAATGGTCGTTCAAGACCACTTTCATTTCGCGATTCGATAAGATGGACTGAATTAGTTAAAAAATAAATTCGTCTAGAAATACCATAACCTTTCAGCTTGTGAAGAAAATCAACATACCAAACTGTCAAATGCCTTCGAGATATCCAAATCTACAGCAGAGGTAAACAACGAAATTTAAAAGTTGACCAGTTCAGACTGTTACGTCTACGGGGGCGAATCACCTACATTTCCATTGTTTTTCATTTGTAAAGGAAAGTTCCACTCGCCCCCCACCAAAAAAAACTGCTATTTTGTGGAATAAACTCATACCTCGGTGCTTAACTGAACACTACAATCTTGACCTCTTCAAATCAAGGGTCAAAGGCTATCTATCCTCCTTATTTATACCCATAATCTTCACTTCTTTCTACCTTCATTATCAAACATCTTATTCAGCAGGTACCGCCAATAATTCGCCGAAAATAGAGCATAGCATAATGGAAAATGCACCATACTTGATAAAAACAAAGTTCTTGGTAGAAACATTTTTTATTTACATCTGCCCCCCCCTCCACGCCATTAATGAAATTTTGTCTCTCTTCATATTTATATTACTTAAAATATTTTAAATTTTTAGGATTACTGAGTACTTAAAAAAGTAATTGGATTAACGTGGGTGCCTTTTATACATAATTTTTAACTCCTAGAGCTTCCCATAGAACAGCATTAGATAAATATCAATCTTTAATCAAGTTGTCAAACCCGCAAACGCCTTACTGTCGAGTAAAAAATGAATTTCTACTATATTTTAAATTTAAAGTAAATAACATTTGTTTCAAGTCAGATTAATTATACTTTAAATCCGCTAATATTCTTTAAATAAAGTTTGTTTTTTTTTATTTTGGGAGATTTTTTAATAGAGAATTACATTGCTATGAAACATGACTAAAAAAAGAGGGCGCTGATCTAGCGAAAACAAAAGCAAACTCCTTCCAGTCAATTTAAATTAGCTTTTGAAATACAGCAATGTATTTTGCTTATTGGAAATATTAAATTTAATCTATTAGCTTGAAATTAAAACTAAAATAAAAGCTTCATTTTAAACTTTAGGTTTTTTTTCTTTATTCAGTAACTGATTCACCTAAAAAATGAAGTATTCCTTTATTTTTATTGTTGCGGGCTTTTATCCCTCTTTCTTTATGATCACCAAACTCTATCTTGTACTCACAAACACATGGACTGCTTTTACCAAGGTCAAAGGGTTCCTTATGTGCTATGTCTCAAGTTGGCTAGCCTCACTCACTTTATTGTATATCATTTAATATTTGTGTGAATTTTAACGCTTAGCGGCGGGCCTTTAGTAATATCGCTATTAAAACGGGTATAAGTTTTATCGCCTACTACTTACACAGTCAAGGTATTAATTAGGCTATTGACTAACAAAATGAATTATGAGGCTGCCATAATACATTACCAGCCTTAAATATATCTTCTGGAATAAAGGTTAGATTGATTTGTTTTTAAGGTTTATCAACTTTTTATGGGTTACTTAAAGCCAAAACACATTTAGTTGTGGGTTGTAAGAATATTTTTTTTATTTTGCGAGTGAATATTGATTCATACCTTTACTAAAGGTATTTTGGCATAAGTGAACATAACGGACTCTACTAGAATTCGAACTCTGTTCTCCGATTTCTCATTTGAGCCACTATCCATTACATCACCCGCACTTCCTCCGCAAAGATAATTTCATCAGTAGTCTAAGTACAAGGCCGAATGTTTTTATAAGTTTCGCTTCGAAGCGAAGATGAACGATGTGGATAGAGCTTACAAAAGCTTTTGAATACTAAATTTCTTTACCATGAGAATACCAGGCAGGGGCGATATCACCCCTGAAATAATAATGATAATAAAGGAGGATACGCTGTAAAACAGTAAACACAGTAAAAGAGATGTTTTCGAATAACCAAGATGTTAATATGCTGCAAAGACTTTGAAATGTAAATGTTAGAGAACGTTAATTTAGAACACGAAATACAATCTTTTTGTAAGTGTACAAAGGATATCAGATTACTAATAGAAATTTACTGGAACAATAATAATTTGGAACTTTTAGAAAAAGAAATGGATTTTGACACTATAAGAATCGAAGTTAAAATTAAGGATGTTTTGCTCTAGAATTTATTTTTAAAACAAGAATCTCTAGTTTACAAAGAGCGGCAGAATAATTAATAGCGAGGTGATAAACAATATTGTCTTGTTGTGAACCTTGGAAATTGTTTATTCTCGAAGGAGTGGACTTGTACTTTGGTAGTATGTTAGTACGTCCACACTAGAAAAACAGATACGTCACCAGTCTGGGGGACGTGAGGCCGATTCTCTTAATAAAGAGGCGAGCCAACTGGAAGGGAGAGCTTTGGGTTCGTCTGTTTTCGAATACAGTCGAACTGAGTGGAGAGACGTCAAAGATTGAAAAGGAAGCGTCCGCTGTGTGTTCCTGAAGTTGAGGGCGAAGAAGCGAAATACCGTCGCTAACATTTAAGTATCGCTACTCATGCTACTACTATTACTACTACTGAGAACAGGGACATCGAAGGTCGTAGTAGTTGCACTAAGACCAGACCAAAAAGGGTTAAAACGAAGTTCCTATATCTCCTTCACCGAAATGTTTCGTAGTATTTGTGTTTATTTGGTTATTGTTCACATACAAGAAACATTCAACCTTGTGCAACAAGAATTATTATTTTTTGTGTGTGCGTGTTTCCTTTTATACATAAAAAACTTTTGTCCTTTCAAAAATCGACTTGGTTATATTTATTTTTCTGTTAACCCTAGTCTCGCCCGACGAACTCGCGGAGAGCTTCCGGATTTCTATGATCTAATGACTACTCTCCAGGATCAAAACTGTCACAACGTGGTTGTAGGGTGGCTTCGAATTGACATTGGGAACCGGAGACTTGTGTCTAGCCTGTAATACTGGACCATGCCGGACCAACAGCCGGTCTTGTGGAGTGCGTGGGTCCAATGGGGTGAGGATACGGTATTACAAATAAACAAACCCGGAAAAATATGAGGCAAATTATTCTACCGATATATCTGAATAGATGTAACGGCCTTGATATAATGTTACTTTCTTACCCACTGACGTTGACAACCCTTTATCGTTGATACGTCTATCAACACACCACTTCTCAATTCACGCAGCTCTCTCTCTCTCTACCCTCAGTCATGAGTCGATGTCTTTGTTGAGTAATACCGACTTTTTGTATCATCAGGTTTTCTTTTCCCTCTTCGATTGGTGCCCGGTTTGTCGTCTCGATTTTCTCAAAATCTTATGATATTGTGATTGACGGCGAAGACTAATGTGAACCCCCACCACCACTATATATGCTGTATACCATAAACAAGATTGCATATTTCCTGTCTATGGCCATGGTAAACTTTTGTTAATTTAGTTTCAGGACAGCTGCTATCAAGCGGGAATAAGAACTCCTTCAATAAAATGCACAGCACTGTTGATAACTCTGACAATAGGTTTATTGAGTATAAAGAAAAACTTGAATAAAATATCTATTAGTTATTGCAAATCAAAATACTCTGCTGCTAGATTGGTGATTTGTAGATTCTGGTCGCAACCATTAAAGTGATGTCCAGTCAGTCGACTCTAACTCAGTTCTTCAGTTATGTATGTGTCTGTGTTTTCGCACACTGGTCTGGGAATTGTGGTTCTGCACTTTAGTCACGACTGTCTTACAAGCAATTCCGGGACATTTCAAGCCGATCTCTCCTGACTAGCCCGTTTCCCCACTTTGAAAAAAAATAAATGACGAAGTGAAATGCGTGCTAGCTTTATATAGGAAAATCTTTTTCGATATCAATGATTAATGACTTCTATTTATCCAGGCCCCAGAATATGACAATTCACAATATCCAATTTCATTATCTCAGTATTTTCGTAAATTGACCAGCTGGCTTCCTTATGAGCGAAAAATGTCTAAATTCACGCCTTAAATTATATCTATATAGTAAAGTATAGACTATGGAAAAATGAGGGAACCCGTTGATATTGAGACCTTGTTGTTGAGAGAACCCGTTCTTAAAATTTTTGAATCCCACCGCTGGGTTTAACCCACTTTGTAAATTTCCAATACAAATTGGACTCCATGCTGGAGCACAAAACGAATGACAAAATAAGTCACATGGCAAATTTAAATAAAAGACAAAACAAACGGAACTCTGATTCAGAAATAGTAACCGGAACGGGACGGAATTCCTTAGATTCATCATAATCGAATCTCTAAAGAAAACTCATCTCACTAATCAGTCACCATCTTGATCATTACCAGCAGGGCAAATCTTCGATTAGTCAAAAAAAAAAAAAAAAGAGAAATGGCAATCTACTTGTAAACGTGAACAATAAGAAATACACGGATAGCATACTGAAAATGACATCTTTCCACAATTTAAAATGTAAAGAGTAGCCTCGCGAAAGACTTAATACCTCAAAATAAAATATCACAAATAGATTTGTTCCTGATTATACCAGAGGAACTAAATGCAGCCTTAGGAAAGCAAGGTCACCAGCTATAGAAGGGTAAGTATAAAAAGGGGGAGGCGATCAACAGATTCAAACATACACATGTCTTAATATTTAATAAACCCTCAATCGGAAAAGAAATTAAAAAAAATTACGATTGAAAAGGTTGAACAATACGTGGCAAATCCCTTGATGTATTTAAAGTGTCAGAAATATGGACATCACAATGAGAGCTGCAGAGGACACCTGGTATGTGAGAAATAAGTGTTCTCATGATACTAAATGTTCCAATTGTCAAGAGAACCATCCAGCCGTTTTTCGAAATATTGCTCTCTCTCTCTCTCTCTATATATATATATATATATATATATATATATATATATATATATATAATGAAAGAGAAAGAGAGAAAGAAACCCGGGAGGTGAAGTATAGAAGAGATATCTTTGCCAGAAGTCAGAAAAATAGTGTATTCACATATGAAACACCATACCATGTGATTCAGAAGGCGAATCCAATTAGCAGCAATAATAACGAAACTGACAAATATAAAGTACTCGTCGAGCAGTTACTGCAGTTAAGGCCAAACAACTGGCCAAAATTCCAAGAATTCTTATAAAGAACATGCTTGGCTGAAGCTACCAAACAGAAATACTAAATGCATAGGAAGAACTTTCAAACCCACGGATTATGGCTCAAATACCACCTATACAAAAACTCAAAATCTCTTGTTAGAATAAAATCTCATATATCGCCAATCCAGCTACCAACTGTTGAATGTCCCCCAAGAAAACATGACTAGCCACAAAAAACAAAAAAAAAATTACCCTCTATGCCCCACAAAAAATAAATTTGAAGTCCTAGAAAGAATGGGTGAGAGACCATCAAAAAGAATAACAAGTCAAATCACCAAAAAATAAAAAAATATATAAAATAAATTTTTGTAGTAAAATTACCAACAATATATTTTTATAGTAAAATTGAACATATGACATACATTTTGGAAAAAGAAATATTTCGTATGATTAATCCCATGTATTGTAAGGAGAAACAAGTTTTCACATCTTCATTTGTTTTTGTAAGGTCATTTGGTAAAAATAAAAGGCAGCTAAGTTAACCATGATATGACATTCTCTTCAATTATAAAATTTGAATTTCCATATTTAGATTTTGGCTTTAAATAACTTATACGGGTTGTTGTTGATGCTAAACGGAAACCACCAACCAACACAACTGGTTTTACTGCCTGCGGGTGTGGAGTTTTTCTGTTTATAAAGTCTACGGACTTTGGAATTGTCCTCAGACAAAGCAAATTCTCTTGACAAAAACCAGATGCTTTGAGCTGGCTAGTTGGAGTCACTAAATCAATCCATGAATATGATTCCCTATTTTCCGAAGTAGCCATGAGAAATACGTGTATTTTGGGCGAATAGGAAAATATTCAAATAATTTTTGCTCACTCGGTCATTGGAAGATTGTCAAGTAGACACTTTTAAAATAGGAATACAGGTTTCGACTCTCGCAAGTTACAATCTCAAAGCCTTTAAGTATTTTTAATAAGTTCTGATGGACCGTTTCGTTTATTTTCCTCATTATAGTTTCTTCAATTTTCTCTATCCTCATACTCTGTTTCATTTATTTCATTCACTGCAGTCACGAAACGTTATTCATACGCTACTAAAGCCTAGGACAAAATAAAGGACAAAATTTCTAACACTTCTCCCCCACCTTACATTCTTTTTTTGCCTCCTTTTTTTTAGCTTTTTTTTTGCAGTGTCATAAAATCTTCCTCCCCTTAGCCTCCTGCGTTTTTCCACTTAGCCTCCTGCGTAGGTTTCTCCTCCTCCATATATCCTTTCTCCACATTGCCTCCTGCGTCTCCCTACACTTCCCCCTGCCTCCTTTCTCCTTAACATTGCCTCCTGTCTCTGCTTCTCCACTTAGCCTCCTGCGTCTCATTTCTCCACTTAGCCTCCTGCGTTTCTCCACCAACCTCCTTCTCACTTAGCCTCCTTAATCTCCAGTAAGTCCCGTCGTCTCTTTCTCCTTAGCCTCCTGCGTCTCCCTTTCTCCCTTAGCCTCCTTCTCCACTCCATAGCCTTGCGTCTCACTTTCTCCACTTAGCCTCCTGCAATCAAACTTAGCCTCCTGCGTCTCGCTTTCTCCACTTAGCCTCCTGCGTCTCGCTTTCTCCACTTAGCCTCCTGCGTCTCGCTTTCTCCACTTAGCCTCCTGCGTCTCGCTTTCTCCACTTAGCCTCCTGCGTCTCCTTTCTCCCTTAAAAAACTGCGTCTCCTTTTCTCTTAGCCTCCCTGTGTCCTTTTTCTCCCCCAAAATTAGTGTCTACTGTTTTCTTTTTTCTTGTTCTCCCTCTTCTCCTTTTCCTATCTTTTCTATTCTCCTGCGTTTCTTTCTCTATATTTCGTTTCCTTTGTCTTATTCTGTTTCGTTTATCTTCTTCTCTTCTCTTTCATTCTGTTCATTTCTCTCTTGCTTCCTTTCTTTTTGTTGGTTTTCTTCCAATCATTTCCCTTTTTTTTTTTTTGTCCGTTTACCGTCATATTGTTTGTTTCTCATCTCTGTTCTTTTGACTTCTCTCCCTTTCCCATGTTATTCTGTCTGTTTATCTCGCTCCGTTTGCCTTTCTGTTATCTCTTCCCCTTCTCACAATTTCCCTTTCTCCCCTGCCCGTTTCTCTTCTTTCCGTTTTTGAAGTTCTATTATAACATCAGAAAGAGGTAGCTGGAGTTTCTGGGACACACAATGAGAAAGGAGGTCTGGAGAATCTGATACTCACGGGTCGAACAGAGGGAAAGAGAGATAAGGGAAAGCAGTGCGTGACATACCTGACGAGCTTGAGCAGGTGGATGACAGAACGTGGTCGGTGGGGAGGAAGCAGAGGAAAGGAACTTGCTGAGAGCTGCAAGGGATAGAGGGAGGTAGTCATGATCGCCTATGCCCTGAAAAGACATGGTACATAAAAAGAAAAAGAATTATAATAGGTTAGCTAAGGGCCTCTCCTGATGTCCTCGACTTGATAGGGTCTTATTTATCCTAGCCTACTGGCACTACATATAACCGATTGCTGGGGTGTATTCAACTCCTTGTCACAGTAATCAATTACAACTGGTTGGTTTGCTGCACTCGATATACCTGGTTGGATCGGGTAATTCGTCAGTATCAGCCGATTACGTCATGCCCGGGAACAAGAGACAACAAGGTCGGTAGATTTGTCTCGATTCACTTGAACAGAAATTAAGCCTTTCTTTATTCTACCTGTCTGTTGACGACGATCGTCGATAGTTTGACTCAAATTCTGTTGTTGTGTCCCAAGAGAAAATCAATAAAAATCGATCTCCTGCAGAGTGTGGTAAACCTTTGCTTCTGACTGCTGGTTACGGTCGAGAAGTTAATGGTCGGTTTGAGTTGGTGGGGGAGAGGCATTTCTTTGATAACCAAATCAAACGCCTTCTGTAAACTTCACAAAATTTAATTTGAAGATAAAAAATGTCTGCAGAATTTAACTTCTACGAAATAACGTCTGTGTGTTCGAGGAAACGTGGGTGTATTCGAACGTGGTCTGCTTCCTCCCCTCACGGAAAACGATTACCAAGCGAAATGCGCTTAGGCTTATATAGGGAAACCTGTCCCGATTACAATGATTAATGAATTCACTTTACGTATCCAGGAACCAGAAAATGACAATTCACGATACACATAGCTCACATCTCCATATTCCTGTATATTGACGAGCTGGCTTTCTTACTAGTGAAGGATTCCTCACCAGAACCAAAAATAATAATAACTATAAAAAATGCAGGCGATTGTCACAGAAAAGGGACATCTAGTTTCTTTCTCGCCTTCAGCTTTAAATTAATTTCGCCCTTACCAGTTTTCAAAACCTTGTACTAACCAAACAGACCTGTAACCACCCAGGTAGAGTTCGTTAAAAAAAAGAGATATCCAACTGCCACTTACCTATCTTTTTGAAAATACATTAATCTTATTCTATAGCTATCAACCTTACTTCACATTTTCTTCTTCCAATTTCTGGTTCAGAGTTCGCATCCTCTTGATGGCAGAGATGAATTTCTCAAACCATGTTAAACCATGATTTAAATTTTAACGACAAAAAAAGCCATTTTTACACCACTCCTGCTTATGAAACGTTGATTTCAGGATCGTTACCCTGTTATACTCTCTGTTTCTCTTTTTATTTTGTTTGCTTCTGTTCTGACCGTTTCTCATTGTCTTCTGCCCGTTTCTCTTCTCTCCGTTTTCTTTTTCTGTCTCATTGTTTCTCATTGTCTTCTAAGCTAATAGATTTACCCGTTCTGCCCGTTTCTCTTCTCTCCGTTTTCTTTTCTGTCCGTTTCTCTTCTCTCCGTTTTCTTTTCTGTCCGTTTCTCATTGTCTTCTGCCCGTTTCTCTTCTCTCCGTTTTCTTTTCTGTCCGTTTCTCATTGTCTTCTGCCCGTTTCTCTTCTCTCCGTTTTCTTTTCTGCCGTTTCTCTTCTCTCCGTTTTCTTTTCTGTCCGTTTCTCTTCTCTCCGTTTTCTTTTCTGTCCGTTTCTCTTCTCTTTCTTTTCTGCCCGTTTCTCTTCTCTCCGTTTTCTTTTCTGTCCGTTTTCTCATTGTCTTCTGCCCGTTTCTCTTCTCCGTTTTCTTTTTCTGTCCGTTTTCTCATTTCTCTTCTCTCCATTTTTCTTTTCTGTCCCGTTCTCTTCTTTCTCTTTTTTCTTTTTCTGTCGTTTCTCTTCTTTTTCTGTCCGTTTCTCATAGTCTTTTCTGTCCGTTTCTCTTCTCTCCATTTTCTTTTCTGTCCGTTTCTCTTCTCTCCGTTTTCTTTTCTGCCCGTTCTCTTCTCTCCCGTTTTCTTTTCTTCCGTTTCTGCCTCTCCCGTTTTCTTTTCTGTCCGTTTTCTCTTCTCTCCATTTTCTTTTTCTGTCTGTTTCTCTTCTTCCCGTTTTTTCTCTCCGTTTCTTCTTCCGTTTTCTTTTCTGTCGTTTCTCTTCTCTCCGTTTTCTTTTTCTGTCCATTTCTCTTTTCTCTTCTGTCCGCTTTCTCGTTTTCTTTTTTTTCCATTTCTCTTCTCTGTTTTCTTTTTTAAACCGTTTTTCTTCTCCTCCGTTTTCTTTTGTCTCCTCATTCTTTTCTTTCTTTTTCCTGTTTTTCTCCTTTTTTTTTCTGTTTTCTTTTTCTGTTTTCTCTCCGTTTTCTTTTCTGTCCGTTTCTCTTCTCTCCGTTTTCTTTTTCTTCCGTTTCTTTTTGGTCTCTGTTTTCTTTTCCGTTTCTTTTTTCTCTCCGTTTCTCTTCATCCGTTTCTTTTCTGTCTCCTTTCTTTTTTCTCTCCATTTTCTTTTTTTGTCTATTTCTTTTCTCTCTTCTTTCATTTTTTCTTTTCTGTCCATTTCTCTTTCTTTTTCTTCTTTTCTTTTTTCTCCGTTTCTTTCTTCTTTTTTTCTCTCCATTTTTTTTCTTTTTCTGTCTATCCGTTTTCTCATTCTATCTTTCTTTTCTTTTTCTTTCTTTCTTTTCCCCGTTTTTTTTCCGTTTTCTTTTCTTTATTTTTTTTTCTTTTCTGTTTCCCATTTTTTTTTTTTTTCTTTCTTTTTTCTTTCTCATTTTCTTTTAATTTTTCTTTTCTCTCCGTTTTGTTTTCTTCTGCCCGTTTCTCTTTTCTTCTTTTTTCTTTTCTGCCCGTTTCTTTCTTTTTTTTTTCCCGTTTCTTTCTTTCTCTCTCCTTTTTCTTATTTCTTTTTCTTCTTTTCTTTTTCTTTTTTTCTTTCTCCGTTTTCTTTTCTGTCCATTCTTTCTTTTCTCCATTTTCCCCTCCGTTTTCTTTTTCTTTCCTTCTTTCTCTCTTTTTCTTTTCTTCTTCTTTTCATTAGTTTTTCTGTCCGTTTCCTCTTTCTTTTTTCTATTTTTATCTTCTCTTCATTTTTCTTTTCTGTCCATTTTCTTTCTTTCTTCTTTCTCCGTTTTGTTTTTTTTCTGTTGTTTTCCTTCCTGTTTTTTCTTTTTTTTCTTTTCCTCTGTTTTCTTTTTTGTCCGTTTCTCTCTGTTTCTTTTCTGTCCATTTCTCTTCTCTCCATTTTCTTTTTCTGTCATTTTCTCTTCTCTCTTTTTTCTTTTCTTTTCTATTTTTTCCAAATTCTTCCTTTTTCTCTTTTTCTGCATTTTTTCTTTTTTTCCTTTTCTCTTTTTCCGTTCTTCTTTTGAATTTCCTATTTTTTTTCTTTCTATCTATCTTTCTTTTTCTTTATTTCTTATCCATCTATTAGTCTCCATTTTACATTCTTCTTTCTTTTCTTTTTTCTTTTTTCTTCTTTTTTCTATCTTCTCTTATTCTTTTCTTCATCCCTTTCTCTTCCGTTTCTTTTCTCTTTTCAGAAACGTTTTTTTCTTTCTCTTTCTTTTTATTTCTCTCCTTTTTCTTTTCTTTCCACATCTTTTCTCCAAATTTTTCTTTTTTCTTTCTTTTCTTTTCTTTCCAATTAACATCTTTCTCAGACTCTTTTTCTCTTTTCTTTTTTTTCTTTATCTTTTCTTTTTCTTAATGTCTTTTCTCATCTTTTCTTTTTTTTTTCTCCATTTTTTTTTTCCTTCTTCATATTTGAAGTTTTCTCTCATTTCTTACATATTTTCTCTTCCTTCTTTTTTTTCTTTTTACTTTCAAGCTAAATATCCTCCCTTTTTTCAACATTCTTATCCATTTTTTTTCTGTCCTTTTCTCTCTTCTTTTTTCTTTTCCTTCCTTTTTTTTTTCTATTTTTATATTCAATCCTTTTTTCTTTCTCTTTTTTCCTTTAAAAAATATTTTTCTTTAAAATCCTTTTTTCTTTCTCTTTTCATTTCTTTTCTTTTCTTTTCCCTTTATCTTCTCTCCATATTCCTTTTTCTTTCCGTTTTTCTTCTTTTGTTTTCAATTTGTTTTCTTTTCTGTAAATTTCTTTTTTCTTTTTTCTCTTTTCTCCATATCTTTCTGTTTCATTTTTTTCTTCTTTTTTTTTTTTCCTTTTTTTTTTTCATTTCTTTCATTTTTTATTCACTCTTTTCTACTTTTCAAATTCCTCTTCTTTTCCGTTTCTTTCTTCTTTCCTCATTCTATCCATTTTCTTTTTTGTCCGTTTCTTTAAATTTTTTCTTTTTTCTTTTCATTTCTTTTCTCTTTTTCTTTTCTCTATATATTCTCTTTTTTTTTCATATTTCTTTTGTTTCTATTTTCTTTTCTCCCTCTTTCTTTTCAAAAAAAAAAAATATTTTTTCTCTTTTCTCTCCATTTTTTCTCTTTCATTTTTTCTCCCATTTCTTTCCTCTTATCTTCTCTCCGTTTTCTTTTTCTCTCTTTTTTTTTTGTTTTTTTTCTCCCGTTTTCTTTTTTCCTCTTCTTTCTTTTCGTTTCTCTTTCTCCTTTTCTTTTCTTTTTATCTCTTTCTTCATTTTTTCTTTTTTCCCTCCGTTTTCTTCTTTTTTTTTTTTTGTTCCATTTTCTTTTTTTTCTAAAATTTCTCTTTTCTTTTCTTCTTTCATCTCTGGTCTTTCTCTTTCTCTCCGTTTTTTTCTCTTCTGTCCATTTCTTTTTTCTTTATTCATTTTTTCCGGAACTTTTTCTAATTCTAAAAAAAAACTTCTTTCTCAATTTTCTCTTCCTGTACTAATTCTTTTTCTTTTCTTTATCTTTATCTTTCTTTTTAAAAACTTTTCACATTCTCTCATTTTTTTCTCTCTCCGTTTTCTTTTTCTTTGTTTTTCTTTCTTTTTTTCTTTTTTCCATTTTTTTTCTTCCGTTTCTTTTCTCTTTTTTCCGTTTTTTTTTTTTTTCCCATTCTATCTTTCTCTTCTCTCCGTCCTCTTTTCTTTTTCTCTCGTCTTCTCCATTTCTTTTCTTTTTTTTCCTCCTACATATTCTATCCCGTTTTAAATTCATCCTCGTTTTGTTCCCTTTTCTCATCGTTTCTTTCTTTGGTTCTTTTTCGTTTTTCTTTTCTGTCCAATTTCTTCTTCCGTTTTCTTTTTTTTCTGTTTTTCTTCTTTCTTCCATTTTGTATTTTCTTGTCTTTTTTTTTCTCTTTCTCATTGTCTTTTCCATTTCTTTTCTCCTTCTTTTTCTTTTCTGTCTCATTTCTTCTTTCTGTTTCTCTTCTCTCCGTTTTTTTCTGTTTTATGATAAAAAAATCTTTTACTTCTTTTTTTTGTTTCTTTTCTTTTCTGTCCTGAGAATCTTTTCTCCCATTTGTCTTTTGCTTTTTATTTCTTGTTTTCTCTTCTTTCTCCGTTTTAGTTTCTTCCGTTTTCTTTTCTGTTTTTAATTCTCAATCTTTTCATTTTTTTTTTCTGTCCGTTTCTCTTTTCTCTTTCTCATTTCTTTTCTCTTCTTTCCATTTTTCTTCTTTTCCTATTTTTCTTTTCTCTTTACAGAAAGGCAACTTCTTTTCTGTCCGTTTCTCTTTCTTTTTTGGTTCTTTTTCATTTCTTCTCATCTGTTTTCTTTTTTTCCGTTTTCTCATTTTTTCTTTTTATTAATTTCTTTTCTCCTGTTTCTCATTTCTTTTGCCCATTTCTTCTTTCCGTTGAGTCTTTGTTTCTCTCTATCCATTTTTTTTCTGTTTGTCTTTTCTTTTTCTTCTTTTTTTTCTTTTTTGTCTATCTCCTTTTCTTTTCTCTCTGTTTTCTTTCTTCCTTTGTTTTCTTTTTCTGTCTTTCGTATTTCTGTTTTCTCTATCCTCTCCCATTTCTTTTCTGTCCGTTTCTCTTTCTCCCTTTCTTTTTCTTTTTTCTTTTTCTGTCGTTTTCTTTTTTTAATATAATATTAATCATCCATTTTTTTCTTTCTCCGTTTCTCTTCTATTTCCGAATTTTTCTCATTTCTCCCAATCTCTTCTTTCCTGTTTCTTTTCTGTCCGTTTCTTTTGTGTTTTTCTTCTTTTCTCTAAATTCAATTTTTACAATTTTATCTTTTCTCTTTTTCTTTTCTATTCAAAAAATTTTTTCTTTTCTTTTTTTGCCCATTTTACAATTTTTTCCTTTCTTGTTGTTTTCAATTTTATCTTCCGTTTTCTTTTCTGTCCGTTTCTGGTTTTCTCCGTTTTTTTTCTGTCCGTTTCTCTTTCTTCTGTTTTCATTTCTGTCCGTTTCTCTTCTCCGTTTTTTCTTTTCTGTCCATTTCATCAGGAAAATAAAAAAATTCTTTTCTTTTTCATTTCTGTTTATTCAATCCGTTTTCTTTACTGTCCGTTTCATTGTTTTCTTTTTTTGTTTGTTTTCTTGTTAAAAATCTCTTTCTATTTTTCCATTTAACAATCTGTCCGTTTCTCTTGTTAATTTTGCATTTTCTTTTCTGTTCTTTTGTCTCTTTCTCTCCCATTTTCTTTTCCATGATATAAGGATTTTTTTCCATTTTAAATTCTTTCCCTTAATCCATTTTATTTTTCTGATAATTTTCTAAGGTGTGACGGTTACACACCTGGCCCAGGGTCGAATCCCTTTGGTTACGGCGCCAAATGTGACGTCGCTCCTCCTGGTCGCTCCTCCTGGTTCCAAGCGTGCCGCTCCAACCCCTTGGTTGGATGATCACCAGCCTCGCCTTTCCCAACTCGCTTCCAATACCTGGTTACTGAAGCAACTGTACTGATCTCCGGTCTGTCTACCCACGCTGTGTTTAGATCTTAGACAGACGGGACCAGCAGGGATTGGGGCCGATACAAGTTGAGTCCGACGGGGGTGGCAAAACACAAATAAAAAAAAAAAAAAAAAACTCACGAGACAAAAAAAAATTGCTGATAAAAAAAATAACCCTTTTATATCTAATGTCCGTTACATAAAAAAAAATTGTTCTCAATTCCCGACCCGCTCTGTGGACTATGGCACAAGCTTCTATCACACAACCTAAAGGATTTCGAATTGCCTACTCTCTAGAATTGGTGTATGTCGGGCTAATTTCTATCAATCATTTTGAGTTCGACACTGGGGCTTCATTTCTGTTTGGTCGTCATTCGCAGTTGATTCTTCTCTTCGACTTGAGTTGTATTTCTTCTTCTTCGTCGACTTAGATAGAACTTCTTCTCGTCTTCGACTTGGAAGGATTGGAAGGATTTCTTGTTTTCGACTTGGGCTGGAAGGATTTCTTGCCGCAACTCTCTGTCGTCCGAGGTGGTCTCTTCTCAATCTTCTTCCGTCCGGGGCTGAACTGATTTTTGTCGATTGGGGCCCTGCTTTTTATTGACGCCGCAGCAAACCGGGGTGGGTCTGTCGGCGTCAGGGTTTTCTCAATAATTCCAACAAACCGCATTATTTCTGATAATTCCCATTATCGCTATTGTTTTCACCCCACTTCCTCACAGTGCCTTTGGTGGGGGAGGCGCACACCCATCCTTCCCGGTCTCTCGTATGTCAGGTGACCGCTTTTCGACCAATGATTCCTGATCGAGCATTTCTCCTCCTCTTTTCCCAGATCCACGTGACCGTTTCCGACCAATTGTTATTGATCGAGCATCCTTTCTCCTCTTTTCGGGCGTTCGTTTACATCGTTCTTGTTTTAAAAAAAAACAAAAATCCAATTTTTCCCTTTTCGCACGTACGAAAAAATGACAATCTTGGCTTTTTTCACCTGGGCTCTGTCAAAACAGCCTGCCGCTAATTAGATGTGACTTCAGGAAAGAATATTTTCGCCATCTGTGAACTGAGACAATCGTTTTTCACCTCTTTTTTTGTCAGACCTGACAGTCAAAAATCTTAATTATCTACATTGAAAATGTCTCCACTTTATTATCGCGGGTTTCCAATTCTTAACAGGTCAGAATCTGTATACAATTCCACCGGTCACTCCCCTCAACCCAAAAGACACTTTTTCTCTGATTAAAAAAAAAATTTCGTTTCTATTGTTCTAAAA